GCAGTATGTAGAGGACAATAATCTAATTCTCAATACAAAATTAATTAAATTCAGCTGAAGTATGACTTCAGTGCCAGTCTAGAATCAATAGTTGATATCAGCCCTTTGTATGAGGTAGAATCTTCTTATTGAATATCTCTTTCAGCCAGTATAAGCTCAGCTGGTTAGTAGTCCAGTCATTTTCATTAACTTCAATCACTCAGTTGCTTGATAGTTCTTCTGTCTCATATCAACAAGATTGATGTATCTTTTCCTTGAGAATAATTATTGTACACAGAGCTTAGCCAGTTATATTAATTTTAGCAATAATTGTCATTTATTCCTAATCTTCAGACTATATAAACTTGGAATTTCTAGTTATTTCAGATTCAGTCATTACTTTGACAGTCTCAATAATTCTCATCTGAAACTCTGTCTTATCAAAGTTGTAAATATCATCTTTCAGAATCTCATACTTTGCAATAATATTTCATATGAGTCTAAATCACTTATAAATAATTTCAAAATCTTTATATAAGGCCTATTGATGATCATACTTGTGTGAGAACTTGGATTTCAGCTCATCATGACACTTGACAAAGTTTCATACTCAGCATTCATTCACTATAAGTGAGGAATTGAATTTTTGACTGATAAGCAGAAGATTGATTATTTCTTGTACAGCTACAACTTGAGAAGATTGATCTTACTCATTCATGATCAGAATTCATTAAACAAGAGATTCTTCCTCTGTAAGATTAAGTTTCTGATTCTTTGAGAGCATGTCAATATATGCTATATGATTATATATATAATAAGTTAAAGTTATATAATAAACTTTATATACCTTTGCTGCAGCTTATACACTTAAAATTTGATTATTTTTAAGTACTTAAATAACTAAAAAAAGCCTTTTTTCTTGAGTAGAGGCTTTATTTCTTAGTGTGATGAATATTTTTGATGCAAAGTATTTCTTGTTGTACAGAAAGTCAAAAGTAATTCACTTGCTTATATGATTCATTTACTTATTAATTATATTATTTAAATACTTTTAAATAATTAAATAAAATAAAAATTTTATTTATTTTAAATATTTACTTATATAAATATTATAAAAATCAAAGAGTAGATTTAATAGTTGAAAATAATATTAAAATTTAAAAAAAATTTTATACAAAATTATTTTTTAATTATATATTAAAATAAAGATTAAAAAATTATATTTTGATAAATAAATAAAACTCTAAAAAAAAGCAATTACTATATATAATAATATAATATATAAATAAAATAAAAATATAACTTTTTATTTATAAAATATAAGAAAAAATTTTTTTTATAAAAAAATATAATATAATTAAAAATTCATATTATAATTTAATAAACTATTTATTAAAAAAAATAATATATAAAGAAATAATAAAAAAAACTCTCTATTAATCAGTTAAATTTATTTTTTAATATTAAATAAAAAGATTTTTAATTAATTTTATAAAAAATATATTATAACTAAATTTAAAATAATATAAAATAATAATTTTAATTTATATACAAGTAGCTATATTAAAATAAATAAAACTATTTTTAAAAAATAAAATTTAAATATAATAAAATTTATATTTAAAATATATAATTAATATTTTAAAAAATATTTATTTTTTTATTTATAATTTTAATTTTAAAATTTTTATTATTTATTAAATTAAAACTATATAAATTTATTATTTATTATAAATTTTTTTTAAATATTATACTATTTTATAATAAAATTTTATAATTTTATATATATTTTTTAAATTTTAATTTAATTAAATAAATATTATAATTTTTAATTATATATATTTAAAATAAATAATAATATTAATAAATATATATTAAATAATAATATTTAAATATATATATATAATATTAAATAATAAATATAAATTATTAATTTATTAATATATATATTTAATATTTAAAATTTTAAAATAACTTTAAATTAAATTAAATTATTTATAAATATAATATTTTAATTTTATATAAATTTTTTAATTATTTTAATAATTTTTAATTATTTTAAACTTTATAATTATATAATAATTATTAAATATATTAATATAATCAATCATCTAGTGAGACAGATCATCTACTAAGATAGATCTTCATCATTTAACATCTTTATAGTTGAATATCACTATAACTAAATAGTAAAACTATCTAATTACATTAAAAATTATTCTCTGTACACTGGGAGCATGTATGAATAATATATTCTATAATGTCACGTTCACTGCACTGTGATGCTGCTCACTTTTGTGATCATTCATCAGACTGCTCTACCACTTCTTTTTTCACTTCATTATGTTTTTATATGTGATCTACCTCTTCTTGGACAGTCAATTCCTCTCTCTGGCTTATATATATATGATGTCTCTTACATTTTCTCTTTTGTTTAGCATTTGCAGTCTTTAATATCTTGTTTTCTACTGTTAGAATAGTAGCACTATGTATGGTCATCTGACATCCCTTGACTAGCTGTTCCAGAGCTTGATTGATTACACTGAGTGAGCTCTGTGTATAATGCTTGAGATATTTCTTGATCTTCTCACTCTAGAGCTTCAGTTGTTGTACATTATGAGGTGTGGCAGTGGCTCAGGCGGCCTAGGAATTATGTGAAGTTCTTGAAGGTGTTGGCATATGTATCTAAGTATTAATATGAGAAAAAACTTACTTTGAATCATACAGAGCTAGTGCTGTAGCTTTAAATTCACTCTGAATATTCTTTTCACTCAGAGCTGCTGTACAAATAAAAGAATAAATGATCAAAAACTCATCCTTATCAATGTGATTGATGTCAAGTCTCATTCTTTTCTCAATCTTTTTCCTATATGCTTGCTTCAAAGGGGACAAACAGGTAACATCTAAAAGCTGCAAGAGATGAGAAGAATGAACTGGCATGTAGAGGAGAATGATCAAGTTCTGAGTGCAAAACTGATCAAATTCAGACCCATTATAGCTGCCATATCTGTCCAGGATCAAGAGTTGATATTGACTGATCATATGAGCTTATGTATGTTTATTAAACACCTCTTTAAGTCAGATCAATCTCAGCTTATCAGTTGTCTATCTATTTTCACTAATTTCAATCCTCCAGTTGTATGATAGCTCATTCTCAAACCAAGAAGCTTGGTGCAACTTCCCCTTGCAGATAATCATTAAAGACAGTGACTAGCCAGTTGAATTGACATCCTCAACAATAGTGACCTATTCTGTATTCTCAGGCTGTACAAGCTTCAGATGGAAAGTCTTCTCTAACCCAGTAATCATCTTGACTGTTCTAATAACTCTCATCTAAAACCTAGTCTCATTAAAGTTGTATATATTCTCTTGTATAATGCTATATTTCTGGATAGTGTTCTGTATAAGCTTGAACCATTCTTGAATAATCTTAAGGTCTTCACATAGGGGCTCATTGATGATCATATGATTGAGAGAATTGAGTTTTTAACTCAGGATGGTGATCAATAAATTGTTTAACCCAGCATTTACCAACAGTTTTTGAGTTTGTAGAGTTGTCTCAATTGGCAAGAAGTAGGTTGGCTGTTTCTTGTACAGTGCTCACTCAGAAGGGCTGATCACATTCATCCATGAAGATTATCCACTGAACAAGAGATAATTCCTCAATAAAGGTCAATTTTCAATTTCTTAACTGAGAGTTCTCTCACATTGTATTGTCATGAAGTCAATGATAAAGAGTGAAATGAAAGATATTGTACAATCTGGCAGCAACTCTAGAACTAGAAATTTGACCTTTTTTATTTGCTTCAATGACTAGAATAAGTCTTCCTTCCTTGTATGAAGGATTGTCATCTTTGGTTGCTGACATTTTGATCAATTGAGTAGTTGAACACATCATGTAGTGAGACCTGTCTTAGTAAGTGATTTGTCTCACTAGGTGATTGATTACATTAATAAAATTAATATTTTATAATATAATAACTTCAAAGTATTTTTAAATTCTAGCATAAAAATTTAATAGTATTAATATCTGTAAATCTTTAATAAACAATATCATTTAAAAGATGTAGATATTTAAGTTAAAATGCACTTAGTGGGATGGCCGTCTCGATCTTGGATAATCACCTGTGAGATACGTGGTTCAGAGCATAAACCACACCGAAGGTTTTTCCGGCCGAGATTTTAAACCATTTTCAACTGTACATACATATGTGTGAACCGACCGTCGATAGGAAAGCTCATCCGAAAGACTCATTCAAACCATTAAAAATAAAAGAGTCGAAAAATTTTGAGAAATCATGTTTTTAATTAGCCAATTTAATGGGGGAGAAACAAAAGGGGACAAGCACACAATGTGAAACATCAAAAGTGGTTTTTGTAAATGCGGAAACACAAGAGGGTGAAAGAACACTATCAAAGGAAAGGAAGAAAAAAACCATACAAAAAGGAACCTACTTGTTTCCTAACCCCCAATTTCGAAATTTTCCATCCCAAATAGACACAATAATTGGAATGAAGCTCTGGTCCAACTCGGCGAAAAAAAGAAAAAATGAAAATGAAAAGGCTGGGCATTAGTAACGCGTAACGGAATAAGAATGATGACGTTGGAATTTGAGTAAACAAATCATCTGTTCATTTCCCGGACGAAGATGCGCATGTTTAGACCAACGTGATAAGAGGGGTAAAGTTGAGATAAAATATGGTTAACGAAAAACAAAAAAAAAAAAAAAGGACGTAATTGAATAGGGCGAGAGAGTAAGTGCAAATATTGGTGGGTAATTAGAGCTGGCGTCAATCCATCATGATCAATCATCACATATCGAGTCTAAGGTATTAGTAATCGGGTGTACAAAGGGGAAGGTGGGGCATCTAATAAAAAGAAAAAGAACAAGGAACAAGAGATAAAAGAAAACTTCAACGACGGGGTATAGTAGTGTGGAAAGAATAAAACTGCGTTAAATGAAGTCGGAGGATGAAGGAGGAGATGGTTGGATGACCAAAGCTCCTGATCTCTGTGCAATTCATGCACTAACTGCTTGTTCAGGAGTGGTGTGGTTGGGCTGTTCTTGTGACCTGCTACGATGGCAGGAGCCATCACGCTTTTGGGGGTTAGGGGATTCATGGTCTGTGGCATCGGTTTGGTCATCTGAGTTTATGGATATTTCTTTTGCATTGGTGCTGTGCTCATCAAGTTTTAGAGGTTGCGAAGTTAGAGAGAGTTCGCCGGGTTTGGATTGCATAGGAGAGGCATCTTCCTCGACAACGCAGTCAACGGGTTTAGATTGAGATTCGTTAACAATCATGTCTTCCTCAACTAGAGGTTTGATAACCTCGGGAGCTTCGCTTGTTCCATCAGTAGCATCTTGGTTCCCTATACTCATAGCAGTTTCTGTGCTAGTTGATCGGAGAGAGTTTGCCCGCCTCCTGATGGCAGAGTCCGAAACGAGGGACTCAGTTCCATCGCCAATATTCAAAACTCCAGAAACCCTGGAGTCCTCATATTGTATCGGCTTGCGCAGCTTTAACCGTTGTTCATGAGACATATTCTGCCACTCTGATCCAAAATTGACAACGGATGCCTTTTTGCCATGTAGCGTAAAACTGCCCGCTCCGCGGGCAAGACTTTCCGTCTCGGCAACAGGGGAACCATCGTCAGCGGCAGACGTCGTGATGCTTGATTCCCTTCCTTTCTTGCTTCGATGATGATGGTGAAGAAGATGAGGATGGGGATGAGGATGGGGAATGTGATGTGCCTCGCGAAGGCTACGATGCAAACCTCGACGAGCCTTGCTGCGATGATCACCCGAACTGGATTCTGCACCTATGTCATGTAACCTTTCCTTGTCATCTTCATTTAGAGCATCTGTCAGCTTTAGTGAATGAGGCGAATTTCTGGTAGTAAGGATTCCAGCTTCCCGCAAGAAACGCTCTTCTTCATCATTGACGCTTCGCGTGGGAGTTGAACCACCAGATGGTACATGAACGCTACTTGAATCATCGACTGTGCTGCTGAGCACAGAGCTCTTGACGGACAGCTGGCGTGGCGAGACATTTGTGGTGGGATCGACATATGAAGAAGTGACGGAATCCTCTTTGGAACCAGCAGCAGAAGTTTTCTTTTGAACGGAACTGATTTGCGCAGGAACAACAGATGTAAGGGTGCTTGGTCGCCTTGCGCGAGGAGAAATTGTTTCGGATGGCGGGCCCGCTCCTCCTTCGAGAGATACCGGAGTGACAGCCCGAACAGGCCCAAAAGTGCCATCATTTTTGAGGGATATCAGTTCGGCGGTTGTAACTGACTCTGGTTTTGACGGGCGACGTTGGTCCGAATTTGAGACTAGTATAGAATTTAAGGGATTGAACGATTGTTTCTCCAAGTGCAGACGTTCTTCACCGGATAATTCAAGAACAAGCATTTCGCGATGACACTTTGTCCGTGAGATCTCCAGCCTTGCCCACTTTATCTTTGCTGACATTCTCCCAGCAGCTAGGATAACTTGGTCCCTCGTTCTAGGATGAATAGGAGTTAGGACCTGGAGGTGTCTGGCGTTTCTTAATAATTCGTCGAGCTCCTTTTGCGCAGAAAATAGTTTCTCATTTGCCTCCCTGATTCTTTGTGACATTAGTTCGCGACGTGCCACTGAAACCTCTTCGACTAAGCCGGGATCCATTCTACGATTGGGCGCCGGGTTGTCGGGAACAGGTGTATTTGACGTTTCTGAAGTTGTGGAATCCTTGCGAGTTGATTTCCTATCCTCATGCCCTTCGTAATTGGCCCCAATCATTCCTCGCATTCGGACTCCTGTGGTGCGGAAACTGGCTGCGTAGTTGATCATGGCAAGCCAATCCAGCATATCAGCCTCACTATTAGCGAGGAAAACCTCTTCAAAACCACCACGGCGGACGAGGAGAAAGGCGTGCTTATGTTTCTTGTAACTAGAATCTAAAAGAGCAACTGCATCATGGGTTGACATAATAGCATCTGGCTTGAAATCTGTAATGGGAGGCTTGAAGGTGACCGCTCGGCGCCGGCCGTGCTTGTCATGCGATTCGCATTGAGAAATTAATGACTTCACCCACTGTACATCTCTGAAAAAATAAAGCTGTGAACCTGTCAGTACGGCACCCCATTCCTGCCAAGGAGATCTGGTTTTCTTTTTCTTAGGATCCTTTCGCCATAACAAGCCGACTTTAGCGACCCTGATATCCACGAGTCCAGGATGCGATTCTGCAGGATTCGCAATGCTACTTGAGGTAAGGAAGGCATCGGGCCTTGATCTCGCGGAAACAATCTGCAGTACCGATGATTTATTAAATGTGCGATGCAGGGCATCCATATCTGGAGTTTGGCCGGTAGCAAATGGACTATATACGTCTTCCAGTTCCATGACCTCCTTGAGATTAGGCCGTAGTGAGCCTAGCTTGCCATCCAATATCAGGGCATACGGGTCAACAGGGTCACGGGAGAGGCTCGGTAGGCTATCTGCACTGGGAACTTTGAACAAAGGTTTCCGTGGTTTGGGGGCCAAGAGGCGACTCAGGTTAAGTTCATCTTCCACATGGATGAATGGTGTGTAAACTATGTTTTCATAAAAACATTCAAGTATTTCTTCAGCCACTCCCTCTCCTTGTGTGTTGCGGACATAGTCTGATTTTTGCATCTTTCTCTTGTTATTTTTATTGAAGACGTCCGTGTGCAAAATCAACAGGGAAAATGAAATGAAATAAGCTTGGTCTGATAATTTATTAGCGGAAAACATTCTCCAAACTGCAAGATGCCAAAATATCGTACCTGTTGAAGCATATATGCCTGGATTGCATTCATGATAACGGTCCGCGAAGCTTTGGAGCACCCTGTCAATTTGCTGTGTCTCTTTTGGCAGCTCTACTTCCATAAGAAGTTTACGTATTGCCATATCAATAGGATCACCGAAAAAAGAAAATCCACGCATGTACTTTCTTAAAGCTGTAGAATAAAACTCCTCTGAAGATTGAGACAAGATAGTAGCAATTACACCGCGACGAACTGAGCTTTCCAATCGCGACAGGTAAGTGGCTGGAGAATCATCTTGTTCTCTAGCTGGCCACGAAACTAAATCCCGGGCGATGGAGAAGGAATTGGACTTGGACGCAACTGACGCGGGTGTGGCAGGTGCGCCAAAACATGGGGAGGCATCGCCTGTCCCGTTTTGGTCAGGATTGGATTTAAACCGACCTGGGAGACCGAAAAGATCACCGAAACTTTTCCTGGCGGCAGTGTATGTCGAAGTCCGACTGGATGGAGCTAAATCCGGGGACAACTGATGTGGAACATCTTGAATATCAGCAAGGGAGCTCATAGTAGACGACCTTTCCCTTCGTGATACGCGAGTCGATGGCTTCGGCGAACTTAATGACGTCGCGGAGCGTGCTGACGATCTCGAGTCTTTTCGAATTAAAGGCATCCCCGGAGAGATTGTACCTGGAGTTCCAAAATCTAGTGGTGAAGGCGATGGCGACGGAAGTGGTGGAAGCGATGGAGCAATGTCATGATTCTGATCCGCAGAAATGCGATTTTTGTTGTTCCCAGTCTGAGTTCTCTTGGGCTCTGGTGGCTGCGAAACTTGGCTCGAAGGGTTGACTTTTACAGGCAACGGGAAAAGTGGGCTTCGGCTGCGTTTCAGCCGCGGAAGGCGAAAAAGAGAGCTGGTGCTTGCCACAGTGCCATTTTTCAAATAGACTCCATGTTCCGCAGAGCTGCCGTCTGATCTAGAAGATTCCGAGAATCGCGTGCCAGGCAATGAAATGCCGTCGCCCTGGGCGCGTAAGGCCCCACTGCTCCCTACGGAGGTAGTTGATAGTCTACCCTGGTATTCAAAGCTGATATGAGAGACTCTGAGACTCGAAGGGGCGGTTTGTGGGCTACCCATCCCAGCAATTTGTCGAAATGATGAACTTCCGTTCGAAGAGTTGGAATTTTTAGGTGTATGGTCACAGTGTGGGGGGGAGGCTGTCGCATGTTCCAAAACTGGTTTTTGCGTTCCAAGTTTGAATCTGTTCTTCCGCTTAGGGGTGGGTTTAGGGTCTGTGATGGTAGGCGATGTAGTAATTATTGTAGGGGCTTTAATAAATAGAGGGAAACACAAAATAGTCAGTAGTCAGATACACGGGGGAGAAGAATCCTAGACCATATGGAGTTTCTATACTTAGAACGAAAGGAGGTTATACTTACGAGGGAGTAGAGAAGGAACGGGAGGTGTCTCCGCTTCGTTGTACGACGTTGATAACTGGGGATCCGACGCGTGCCTGAATCTCATCAGACTGAATCTGTTGAATATAGTTGTGCCCTGTTGTTTGGCATTAGGAACTGATTTTCCTCCGGATCCCGCAGGCCCATTGTCGGACAGGGTTCTCTCAGATCTCTCAGCACCCCCGGGTTCTCCGGCCAGCGGTGAATTGGCAGTAGATTCTGAAAGGCGGGGAGCGAGCTGGTCCATGGCGGAGTTGGAGCGAGGAATATGTTCGCTATGGCGCGCAGGGGCAGACTCCGGATTGACGGAGTGGTGTGGTTGCGAATTTCGGTCATCAGCACCAAGACGACACCCCTTCCATGGCATGATGGAGGTGGATTTGCGCATAGTCAATGGGTCATGGCATGCGGGCTAGGTAGCAGACAGATCCTTAGACCGTGCGTGCAGTTCTCTCCAATGGGATCGACATAGAATCTCTGGCAGTGGCAAGCTGGCCGATTCGTTGGTGAAGACAACCGGGACGTGTGTACTGACTTTGTGTATTGTACATGGGGTCAACGGGGGGAAGAAGGGTGACAATCAAACGAGTGACGTTGGAATAGGATCCTGACAATGGGGGAGGCGCATACAACTCCAGTAGCACCATTCAGCGAGGTCCTTCGGCGAGATTCTTCAGCGAGGCGTAGTTGTCGATGTGTGTACCTAGGTACTGTGCTGTGCTGGGTTGTGCTGTGCTGTTCAGTGGTCGAAGGTGGAGGTTGGATAAGAGACATATGTAGTTATGGTGTGTAGTACCTCCTTCTCCAGGCCGGGGGAATAACCACCTCACCTGCTGCTAGTCAGCTAGTTTAACTAGTTCAGTTAGTTTTAGTTGACGGACCAAAGAGACAACATAACGTAATCGGCCCAAAGGGGAGAAGAAGCAGCCAAGCCAAGCCCTCTTCCCTGGGCTGGGTCCCCACACCAAGAGTAAGTCGCCTGAGGCTGCAAACGGGTGTCTTCCATACATACAAAACTTCTTCCACCAGATAAACTCGTTAACTAATTAGTTAACTATGGAGTACAAACACCAGTGGTTACAACTTATCCGGCCCCAGCCTGCTCCCCAGACCATTCCTGATTCGCCTAAGTCGAGAGTCATTCAGAAACCAACTTCAGCCATTACAAATAGGTCTCTTTATTCCTCCTCAGTTTGATCTCTGGATGTAGCAGCCGCTGGTGGCGCGTCATCTGATTATCCACTAAAATTCTCTTTCCACTAATTAGTCACTCCTACTGTGGTTCTTGTAGCACAGAGACTACATAGAACAGACAACATTTCAGAGTAGAACATGTTTCAAGCCCCTTCTTTGCAAAGGAAAGAAAGGCTTTCGGAGAATGACAGTCAAAGACAGCCAAGCATGCTTAAATAACTCTTTTATTGGCCAGAGTTCGTATTAGTAAGCTAACAATCGTTCGTTTGACTTTGGATGATGACTGTCGGACCGTATTCAACTGGGTAAGGTAAATTAAAAAGGGGAAACATGAAACCATATTTTGGGAGTCTGCAAGGCTTTGCACAATGACAATCACAGGTGATTTGTTACAAATCAATTCAATTATGAAACCTCTTCACGCACATGTCTCAAAACCCAGTTGAAAAAAAAAAAAAAAAAAAAAAAAAAAAAAAAAAAAAAAAAAAAAAAAAAATAGAAACAAAAATAGGGGAATGCATAAGCCTTTCACACTCTTCAGGGTGCCCAACTAAATAGTGGTTTAGTTAGTTATCTATGTTTTTAACTTCTCGCACCTGACACCGCCCTTTGATGATCTCTTTGCACTGTACATCGTGAGACCTCGCGATAGGAGAGGCTGTGGAATTAAGTTGCAAAACCCAGGCAGGGATGGGATGTATTTTTCGCCGGCTTCATAGGGACAAGCCGCTCGGGTTAATTCATCAGCGCATATCGATGAAAGGGATATATCAACCTGCCACTGAACTGAACTGAACCAAGCACGTCATCTTCCTCGGTTAAATACTTGGATTTTTGCAAGAACTCAACTGAGATGGCGATCCCACGAGCAAGCTCAGCCTCGTGAGAAGCGTTATCAGACTACAAACAAATTACAATGGTACCCTGTTGATTCTTTTGGGCCGCAGATTCCAACTTTGAAGGTAGTGAGTGAACCTTCAAAATAGCATTAAGCTTTTCTTCCAGGACACGAAGTTAGTTACATGCCGTCAGTGTCTCAGGAGGGAATCTTATTGGACGAATTGGGACGGTTCCAACAACCTCGAGTCGATTCTAGCGTTTTGATTCCTGCGTTCTACGTAGAATAACAAGTATGTATTTGCGTAGCAGATTTGGGGTTTTGGAGGGAGGGGGGGTGGGTTATATAAATATCTGGTCCCGGGTCGGTAGATGGAAGGATGAGCTCAAGCCAGGTTCATTTCTGGTCGCTCAAACGCTGTTGAAATTGGGTTGTCAACTTGCGATTCCTCATCCACCCGCGAAAAGAGCAATTCTTGGTTGCAAATAAATAATGACATGATTTAAAATGCTTGACTTCTCCACATGAAGGAATGAATCCATCTCCACCGCCTGGGCAGATAAAAATTCAGTCTCGTGAGTCCCGCGTTAAACTAAAATCATTTAGCTCAGCTGATGTTGCCAATATTTTAGTTAACTAAATGTTCCCCTTAAGCTTCGTCAAGATATATCAATTCCGCGCCACGTAACATGCAACGCACGACACATGAAGACACAAGGTGTGAACGGGGATCAGAGAATAAATATCATTTTGACACGAAAACCTTGTCGCTTGGGATGATGCGGTATGATCCCTAAATAGATCTGCATCATGCACAGGATTTGTTGACAGTTGCTCATGCGGCGTTGGTCACTGCATATTTCCTGGAAGAGAGGGCTATCTCAGCCAGATGCAAGCAAATTGTGCGGTGTTCCTCCAGAGTTCTAGCTCCCTGGACTCTTCATACTACTTCAAGCATCAAGCCCTTCAGCCGTGCAAGCTAACAAATCCACGTCTGCCAAACCTCCAGTACCAGACCACCACCTCTGTCAGTGGTATGTTGTGATCAATAATGAGCAATCCCACGAGAGCGTTAACGACTGCTGGAAATCTCCCCGAGGTAACCCTATCGAATAAATACACGTCCATATTCCTAGTCGTAGTGTATGATACTATATTTGCTAATCCCAACCAGGCCAATCCCCCTGACTTTTCAGACATTTGGAAAGTCATCCTTCAACCCGGCGCAGCAGAGGATGAGCAGTTTGTAAGAAAATACTACAAAGGGCGCGGATCCCTCTCCATTCAAAACCTAGTCACGCAGCCTCGTCCATGGATGTCGTGGAGTTACAGAGCTGCCTATCGAAAGCTTTTTGCGCTCTTAGAGCAGGCTTCATTGGACTACAAGTTACGCTGCCGGGTCCTGTTTGAGGAGTTGTCGGTGGATAATGATCGATATCAGCCGCGAAATCTGGTTTACAATGAGGCCCATGCTCCTCTGTCTGTCATATTTGACGCTCTGAAGACGATTCCAGCAACGGTGCTAGAAGCAGATCGTCCGGCGGAAAAGATCAAGGGTACTGCGCATGTTAAAAAGTTTGCTCGGATACTACATGTAACGGATATTTCGCCGCTGGTGCTCAATTGTATCTTTGGGACATCTTCAAGGTCTGAGATATATCAAAGTCCCCTTCCTAGTAACCCGCCATACTGATGTATTATTTGCAGTCTAGATATGAGTCACATCGCGGCATTTGTCGATAGAAATCTGAACGGTTTGAATTGGGCGAAAGTGAATCTGCTCCAGCTGCGAAACACGGTACGAACGTTTGAAAGAATCATGAAATTCCCTTTTGGGAGAGAATATCTCTTTTTTAGCCATATCCTAATATTTGTAGAGCTGGTCTTCATACATATACGAATACCATTTTTCTTTCTATTACGTCACCTTGGACTTTTTCGAACTGGGTACAGTGAAACCTGATCCCCGCCAGATTCGAAGGTCGTGTCCATTCGGGAAGCGGAAGTGTACAAAGCATCGTTATATACACGAAGAAACTGTTTCGTTCTTATTATGTGGTCATTTCGACGAGGTATTCACTTGTTACCAGTTAGGTGACACTTATTTTAAACCTCGTTATGCGAAAGAAACGGGCGCTCGGTTCTTTCGATCTTATGATCCCGGTCAATCCCCTGGCCAACTTCTACTGTATTGGATTGTTGTGGCTTTGTTTCATGCAAGATCAAGATGGGAAAATGCCATCGATGCGCTAGACGCGGAGATGAAATCGCCGGTACTTTCATCCCCAAGATTGGAAATGTCTTATGTCTTGACTAACTTTTCCAATCTTTAGTCTGATGTCGTATTCATGGAGGACAGAAGTGGTTGGTAGTGCCCATTTGTTCAGACAAACAATACACAGTACTTAGGCAACTTTAACGCTAATATTTGGTAGATTTGATGGCCGACGACCCGCAGTTCTCCTTGTCCAAAACATACTTCTGGGCTCTTCAAACATATAAACTATTTGAGGTACGGATTAACTCTAACTTCTGCTCTCAATGGATTCGAAATTGACCTACAAACCAGCGCACCCTAGAGCAAACAATCGCAACCTGGGAAACTTTCAAAATCGACTCCCTGCCCAAAATTCAGGATGGAAGGATCAGCCCTGAAGATTGGGATGCTGGAGTCAGTAACATCGAACAGGGAATCGAACTCCTTAAACCCAAAATAGTTCGCATCCGACGGGGTATACAGGATGTAAGGGATCTTCGAGAGGGGGTAGGTTCCAACAAATTTATCCAATAATGGCAGAACTTTGGGAGTGATAACTAATCTGTTCAGCTCCAATCGACCGCTGCTGTATTTGATAGCCGAACTGCCGTTCGCCAGGGGGAAAATATTCGCCTATTAACATACATCACATTGCTTTTCCTCCCCCTTTCCTTTGGCACGGTAGGCTGTGCTCCATCGATACTTTCTATTCTGACAGAATCCTAACTCTCGTTTAGGGCATTTTTAGTATGCAATTCATCGAGTCCAACTCGAGCACGGTCAACGCCTTCGCCATCACCTTACCTATCATCACAATCGTCAGTGCTCTCGTAATTTTCAACCTCAACGCACTCACTGCCGCATTCGACTCTGCAGTCCGCAAAGCTACATTCGGTCTTCGAGGAAGGATGAAACTCCATCACAGAAAAGATTGGAAACAGAGAGCCCTAGCCCTGTATCAAGATGATATAAGTGCAGAGCCACCGGTACGAAAAGCTTCCAAACAGAGTAGCCATTGGGTTTACATACTTTTCTTGATCGAGACTGCCACAATTCTGTTACCCGTTTCAGAACTTGATGCCGCACTTCGTTTTTACGGGATTTTTGATTCCAAAAGCGAGTGCGACCAAGACGATGATGATATCACAGACAAAGAAGAAGCTCGCATACATCGCCCTGGAAATAATAGACGAAAGGAAGTTCTAAGGAGGGTGAAAAGAGCCGCACAGCAAGCGGAGGAGCAGGAATGGAGACGCAGAGAGGAAGATAAAGGGACGGTAATCGTATTTTTCAGACGTTCCTATCGTAACAGCCTTCATGTATCACGGGCTCTAATGGGTATCATTTTCAACTCCTTGAGGCTTCTTCTCATACCGATCTGGATCGTCCTGCTCTGCACAGAGTACATTTTGGTATTAGCCGCCTTCACACTTTTAAGCAGATCCCATCCTCACCCCACCCAACCCAGTCCTAACCCACCAGCTCATGCTGAAAAATCATCACGTTCCCACTCCTCTTTCGCGCACGCATGGCGTTTGCTCGGGCTCAACACCCTTACTGTCCCAAATCGACCCCGTCTTTTCTGTCCCGACTCCTCAGGTTCCTCCGAAATCTCCACCCCAGATAACACCCTCCCACCAATCCACAATAAAGGGAAGTCACCAACAGCAACCAAAGACGTAGCCCTCAAAAGACCACAGATAGCAGCAGCTTCCCCGCCTACATCTTCTGAATCACACCGACTGCGTCACTCCACAAAACTCACTCTTCAATTGGGACCCGAGAACGATCCCAAAAGAGCATCCTCAATAATAACTCGAGAAGAAAATATGTCAACACCTTCATCACGCTCAATTCCCCAAACACCACCAACCGCAAATGTTGAGGTAAGGGTATTTGACCTCGAGCGGTCGCGGAGGACGGCGCGGGCAAGGCTAGCAAGAGCGGCGAATGTTACGAGCCAGTTTGACCCGCATGATTTGGAGGGGGGAGATATATAAATAATAATTACCGCCTAAGATTGATGGAATTGATATCGAATTTAGAGTTGATGGACGCACACATTATAATGAGTTATGACATGGTTTTTCTGTGCAAATTTTTAATTTCGTGTACGTACATTTTGTAGAGATATCCGATTCAAAATAATGTTAAGGGGAAGAATACCGTATGTATGTGTGCACACATATTATATTATTTATGACAATTGGTACAAGTTAGAAGGCCAGTGGAGAGATGAAATGAAATACGATTAAGAAACCGATCTAAAAAGACAGAAAACAAGGCCCAATCTGGATATGCGACACGGCATCAGCTCTTATCGACGAGGGTGTGTACAGACAAAAAATGCCTTTAAAAAGTAAATGAAATTGGGTGGGTGGTGGTTGAAATTCAACATACGTATATACCAAAGAGAAAATGGTCGAATACTGTAGCAAATAAGGGTATTTAGAAAATCCAACCAAACAAAATATGCCAGAGAATGCCAAAGGGGAATGAAAAAAATAACTTAGGTTGTTTCCCAAAATTTTTACCCCTTACGCCTCCTGCGAAAACCCCACTCGTCATTGTCATAACCTTCCCCTTCATTTTGATCATCATGATTCCTGTAATCAAACGGTATCCAAGAGTCGTCATTCTCACCAAGTTCATTTTCGCTAGGAATATCATCTTCGTCGGCCTTGGGACGCTGGGATTCATCTTCCCAATCTAAGTGCCCAAACCCATCATGCCCGGATAAAAATCTGCCCAATACCATCACGGCATTGAACATCTCTTGACCCGTGGGGACGATATTTTCTCTAGGCAAGAGGAATCCATAGCTGCCTCTATCGCGAAGTTTGATTTGGTAGGAATACTTGACATTCAAGTCATGATAAAACCAGTCTAGAGCACTGCCTCCCGTCCTTTCGATGCGGGGAAAAGGATCGTCTGACTTTGCTTTTGCCTGGGATGCCATGAACCCTTCGCAGGCGGAGCTCACTTCGTAAGTCTCCCTGTTCGTCAATCGAATGGCCTTGGCAATCCCTATTGCTAGCTCTTCCAGGTTTTCCAAGTTGGGAGGATTCGGTAGGCAAGAGTACGAATATGGATAGCGGATTTGTTGAGAATAGGAATGGAGGTCGATGAAGGCGACGAATTCAATATTGTTCTGTGCCGTTTGGTTCTTCGCCCACTGTGAGAATTGCTTCGCTTCGACTCCAGCAAATGGATCCTCTCCCGGATAGCTTTCTGAGCAAGGGTTATCCGCCGTGATATTGCCATCCCATTCGAACCCCCAAGTACGATCCAAGTCCACACCGGGACAGAAGGGCAGGCTCGTTTCTTGCCTGTTCTTCCGCCAAATGCGATCAACTTCCCACGTGTAGATATAGCCGTCCGGGTTGAGGGTTGGTATGAAAATAAAGTCGAATTGTTGTAGAAGTTCAGCAACGTGCTTGGATTTTGCATAGCTGGTGATTAAAGAGTACGCAACATAATTCACTGTCGAAACACTGATCCATTCTCGCGCATGGGATCCTCCTGAAACGACAACTGTTTTGCGAGGTTTGGGGTTATTAGCTGGCCACACTCCGATCTGAAGAGCTGGGATATCACGACCCTCAAATGTAGACCCGATATTAATTATTTGCACGTGAGATGAAAACATCGAGGTTAGGAAACGCATCCAAGTAACAATCACCGAAAACGGCTGATAATCTTGGAAGAATATATTCGTTATGTCGGAAGAGTGTTTGGTAGATGGCGAGAAACCTTGCACGTCATATGAGGAACGTTGAGACGAGGAAGGATATGATTCGTATATGGTTTGAGGCAGGTCATGAATTAAAGGGATATGGGATGTTTGTAGTGATTGTGGGAGCAAGCCAAGAAGTGACGGGACCTGCAGGAGACGTTTTAATTAAGCAGAAGTGTTCGATATAACCATCACTTTTGCAAAAGATAATGCATGACAACTCAGATACTTACCACATCCTTGGTCAGTCTGATATCGACCCACTCATCCGTAGAGGCCCAAACATCTAAGAATAGAATATTGGAAGCCTCAGCAAGTGCTTTGACTTCCTCTGCATTCCGTATTGTAAATCGCAGCACGACATCATCGCCGTATCGTGCCCTCAAAGAAACAGGGGCGGAGAAGAGAGGAAATTTGCCCTGTTTGCCAGGTCTGTTTTTGTTTAGTTGCGGCGGAACACGCCATAATCTCTCGATGACAGTGTTGCGGAGCCTGGTCCATAGACCCAGAGGAGCCTGTGGCTGAGTTTGCGGGAAAAGAGATACGCCCTCCGCCGGATGAGCAGGATAGCTGTTGCTTAGGAACGAGGGGATAGCGGCTATAGGTACTGCACAAGCTAGGATAGCCAGCACCTCAAGACGGGCGAATAGACGCATTGGTATTGCCTGTTGACCTGGGCGGATGGAATTGTTTTGCTTATACACCCCATGAGAAGGAAGAGGATGACGAGGATGCAGATGATAAATAAGGGATGTGGCGGGGAATAGCAGTCGAGGGTTGGGTTAATCCGTAGTTTGCTTGCGGGATGCTTTGCCAACAACGATTTTGCCGGATTGCGCTGGAACTGCCAAGGCCGAAGGCCAACCGCAGGCATCACAATTAAATATTACTTCACGATCATAAATATCCAAAGTGAAGGGATTCTATTTTTCACGGTGATCCTCGAATTGAATATATATGAAGAAGGAAAAGAGTATCAAATAGAAGACAGGGTTAATCACCATCGTCTCTTCCAGAGCAGATTCAGAAACAGTAACATTAAACAGCAGACTCTTCTACAAAGGGAGGAGAAATTGGTTTCACCATTTTGCCGTCCAAGTTTACTAGTTTCAAAAAGGCCATTGTGGCGTCCAGCTGCGATTGAGCGTACTGGGAATAAACCCTTCTAACCTCAGGCAAGGAATGATGGAGGTTAACCAAGCCCTGGCGCTCTTAAACACACAACTTGTTGCGATAAGATTGCCAGTAGCCCGTGTCATGTGACTGAACGTTTCCTACATGTTGGAGCCTAGGCTTCCTATTATGGACTAGCGCACTGCACAGTAGTATATAGCATCCCTGAGATAGGCTACCAATACAACCACTTCAGACGTCCAACAAACCATTCTCACCACGAAGCAAGCACCCCATTTGATAAGCACTTCTAGCAAGCAGATCTTTTGGTAAATTTGTCTGGATTCTGATAGAATCTGTCACGCACTGCGAACTGGCAGAATCTACCCTTTCAGCTACCAGAATGGAGAGCCGAGTGCAAGAACTACTGGCTGAACTCGAGAAAGAGAGAACATTGCGGGAAATCATCAAAACACAGTTGAAAAAGTAAAGACAACTCCTCCAGGAGGAGCAGCAACAACATGAAGAAGTAGAAGCAAATTCAGAGCCTACAACATTGCCACAGTTCCTTCACATCTGTCATGAGCTTTTTGCTCGCAATCCGCACTGTGACAGACCCTACAAGAACAACTCAGGGTGTCATAATAAATCCAGCTAATCTGAGGGTTCCTTCACGTATCACATTATGGGACACCTTCATTGCCGAGCAGATGATGGTGTGGGAGAGATTCAACAGTGATCCATCATTTTTGACTGAAAAACTGTTCCTGTCAAAACATCAGCTTGAGTATGTCCACCACCTCATCACTTCAATCACCTCAGAATTGGATCTCCGATACTATGAATGAGACACTGTGGAAAATCATGTTCACATCATAGTCAGCTAAATCATGGAAAATGAGGTTCTCAGGGAGGCACTTGGGCTGTGAGATTCCATTATCTTTGAAGGCTATACAAATCTGGGGCATCCGCAGGAGAATTCACTGAGTGAAGAGGTTAGACAAATGCCCACCGACCCTGCAACAGAAATCAGATCATCAGCCAAAGATAAAAGCAAAGATCAGAAGAGAAAGAAGAAGTCTGCTTTGACTACAGAAGAGCAGGCAGATCAATTCTGTGTCTGCTGACAGGAGTGTGATGAACCCATTCCTGTGATTGCAATTAAATATAAGGTGCCTCACAAACTCACACAGGCTGAGATGGCCACAGGACTGACCAAAGAGATCCGTCCTGCTCAGGATGTGATTGGTCAGGACTCTGATGATGTTGACTTCTGCTGTAAACGGCTTGTTGCTGCAGCCACAACTCAGCTCTTCTCTTACATGGTTCACAAAGAGTTGCATTACAGCTATATATGCACTGGAGAAACCTTCATCTTTGTTTATATCCCAGATGATCCATCTTCAGTTCAGTGTGCGCTTTGCAGACCAGACCTGGGCGTCAAGGTGACTAGCAAGGTTGAGCTACAGTTGACAGCTGTCGTGCAGGTTCTGGTGTTCACAATCAGAGCATTGACCTCACCAGCAGTACCCCGGGAGTGGCATGATGCTGCTGTGAGGCTTGATGTTTGGCCAGTGGAGTATTCTGAAATACTGGAGCAGACTCCATCCGCTGCTCACCCAAAACATGCGCCCCCTGGTACCGTGGCAGACAACCCTGTAACCTTCCCCCCTTCGGGATGACGCTGCAATCCGGATGCCGGCCACCTGAAGACAAAAAACTGATTGATGACCTCCCACTCATTGTTTCCTCCCCCATCTCTTCCCTTTACGCCGTTGCAATCTGGCATTCGTGGTCGAACGCGAAGAAGAAGACCTGGGTCAGCTGCAAAGCCGCGAGGTGTCCCGGGACACAGGGAAGTCAGTGGCTCTCAGTGGATGCTCAATGCCATTGAATCACCAGCCATTAATACCCGCCCATACTGCTCTCAGCAATGTCTCCTTGCGCTCAAGGATGGTAGCCCTCTTGATCCATCATGCCCCAACTGCCAGGGGCACCGGAAGGGCCAAATCCAGATACACAGCTTCTGTTCTCATCTCCAGAGACATCTTGCCATGGATTGTGGCCCAGATGCTGACTGCTGTCCCCTCTACTAGGCAGGGAGCTGTGGGGCACTGTTCAAGGTGAGGCTCTCATCACATGGATACACTGTGGTCGCCAAGGGTGTGAAATACAAGCATCTGTATAAGCTCGAACATGAAAAGCAGATCTATGATGAGCTCCGAGATCTCCAAGGTGAATGTATTCCAGTCTGTCTTGGCATCGTCCAGCTGGCGTTAAAGCATCCCTATTACTACAATGGCAGAATCTACACTCACATGTTATTTTTGAGCTGGGTGGAAGAAGCAATTCAAAAAGTCAGGACACTCAGCCATACTGCAGATGCATCCTCCATGGTATATCATGCCCTCCAAGCCATTCACTTTAAAGGAGTTCTCCATGGTGACATGGAGCTGTGAAATATACTTTGGAACCCAACTTGCCAACATGCAATGATAGTTGATTTTGAATGAGTCAAGCTCTGTTCAGTGTGTCTGCTAACTCAGCAAGAAAGAAGAGCAGACTGATGAAGACTTGTTTTAGCAAAGAGCTTCAACACATGAAGGCTGTGTTTGAGAGAAATGTTGCATAGCATAAGACGCCTTCTAACTCTAGTAGGACTTGAATAATTGACAGGCTCATTGACCCAGTGTCATGATCAATGTGATATTTCCCTTTTTCTGAAGTTGTACTCCTTTACTTCATATGACACATTACCAACTACTGTCTACTTGCAGACTTCTCTGGTTGTTCATCTGCGTAATTCTTCTTCTTCTTCTTCTTCTTCTTCTTCTTCTTTTACATGGCTTAGGGTTTTGGGAGCCTAGGCATCAATTACCCAAAGTCAAGAAGGAGAATTTGCGGAAGGCACAGAATTTGGCCACATTCATTTGTGTTTTATAGTTTTATAGTTGGTAGTTATTCAGTAGAATGAGTATTTTTACAGATATTGCAACCTGTCACATTGAAACTTGAGAGCAATTATATCTAGTGCATCTATACAAATTGTGTTGGAATATTAGTGAGGTGAACCATCTTGGGTTTCTCCTTTACATATTCCTCTAGGGCCGGCAAAACTGCTTTGGTCCTGTAAGATATTTGTGAAGTCTAATAACCACAATGTGGATAGGAGTATGGCTAAGGGCCAAGGCATCTTAGTGCCTAAGTTCAGCCTATATAGTTGCATGGTATTTTGTCCAAGTGCCCCTCATCAGACTCACTTGGCATTTTCATGAAAAATCAACTTCCCACACCACTTTCTCCAAAGTTAGTCTCACATATCCTCGCAATCTGCCTTACCATTTTATCGCTTATGTCCTTCCAGAACCTGTTGATGTGAACAGAATCCAACAGTATAATATTCAGCGTGTGCCCTGCCCAAACAACCAGTTCCCTCTTGGTGGTCAAAGCAGCACCCTGGGTAGTGAAGGTCATGAGTTGCATAAGAAAGTCTGAGCAATGATCACCCCGCCCAAACCCCAATATGTCAATGAACAGACCTTGAATAGTAAAATATCCAGCTTCAGTGCGATGGCTCGCACAGTGATAACCTGACAGTCATTAAATTGCGCAGAACTCATTGCCTATCAGTGGGCTAGAAGATACTGGTACAGAACCAGTCAGTCACCTTGGTCGAAGACGGAGAAGCTGAGGTTGGTAAGCTAGGTGGCATTGGTATCACAAAAAAAAAAAAAAAAAGGCAATCCACATTGAGATCCGCTCTTGTTCATGTTTCCCAAGCCACAACCGGTGCATCCTGCGCCAAGGCATTGTTTGCGTAACTAAAAGGGGATTTGATCAACCAACTTTAAACAGAATCACCGCCACCTCCACCGCCATCAACCACCTAACTCCCTTGCTTTTACTATTCTATGAAATCCACGGTGGCAGCGTTCCGCATACTGTAAATCCCCCAGCCCCATGTAATTATAGCGCCAAAAGTAGCTACGTGGATAATTTCGAGCCGAATTACTGTAGCGAAGATAGTACTCAATAGCATAACTATAACTAGTTAGTTAACTAACGTAATCCACCACCTACCACCTAACTAGACAGCTCCCCCACATGTATTTGACAAACTTTTAAATTAAGCAACAACCACGAGGAATTCTATATAGAAATTATATAGGATAGACCCTTAGGCCTGTGGACATGCTCTAATATTATGTCCAGGGGTATTACACTTGCTGCAGGTGGGAGGTCTTCACTTTCTAATCCCTGGGTTCAAATCCTCAACCACCCCCTCAGTAGGCTGATTAGGCTCCTGAGTCTGAGCCTTACTAGCTAACACCTCCTGAGTCATTAGAATCTCTTCTTTAGCTATATAGAAACATGGTTTCTCTCTCTTTCACTTCTGCCTAGCATTGGCAGCTCTTAGCTTCACATTTTCCTTTGCTAGTAGAGCAGCATTACGCATGGTCATTTGACATCTCTTCACTAGTTGATCAAGAGCCTGATTGATAGGACTGGAAAGAACCTCTGTATGATATTTAATTCTGCTGCTCTGCTGCTCTAATTGAGTCACATTGCTGAGAGTCTTAGAGGTCCAGGAGTGCTGAGATCTGTGAGCTGACCCCAGGGGAATAGAAGTATGAAATTGAGTACATAGTCAGGTAAAAACCTCATCTGAATTGTATGGCACTAGGCCTGTGACTTTGAATCTGCTTCTTATAGTAGTATTCTTCATGACCTTCTGCCTAGCTGCTGTGTAGCTAACTAGGAATTCCTTCTTATCAATATAATTGATCTTCAGTCTCATGCTCTGCTCCATCTTCTTGCTGTACACTTTCTTTAATGATGAAAAGCAGCTCACATCTAGTGGCTGCAGTAAATGAGAGGAGTGAGGAGGCATATATAATGCTATAATGCTGTGATTCAGGCAGAACTTGTCAAATTTGACTGCGGCATGACTATCATGCTCATTCAGAATTAGCAGTCTCTTGCTGCCAATTGTATGAGCCTTAGTAGCTCTGTTAAACACCTTTCACAGCCAGGTTAAACCAAGCTCATCTGTGGTCCAACCCTTCTTACTAATGCCAATTTTCCAGTCCTTTGGTAGTTGCTCATATCAGGAATCTTGATGAAGCTTGGCCTTCAGTATAATCATAGGAGGTAGAGCTCGGCCTGTAGCATTAACTGCCTCAATCACAGTTGCTCATTCTCTATTTCCTGGCTGTATGAGAGATGGTCTCTCTCTCAGCTCTAGTAATCACCCAGGTTGTTGAAATAACCCCCATCATGAAGCTAATTTCATCAAAGTTGTAGATATCCTCTGGCAGAATCCCATACTTCTTTATTGTATGATTCACCAAGGTAAACCACTCATGTAAAAGCTTTGAATCCTCACAAAGAGCTCACTGATAGTCATCCTTTCATGAGAACTTAGTCTTTAGTTCAGGATGTCATTGTATGAATCTGTGAACCCACCCAGTTGATTCCTATAGTAGTAGAGCAGCTAGATTCATACTCTGCAAGTAGTAAATTGGCCATTTCTCATACAGTTGTGATTCAGGGAGGCTGTCCTCTCTCATCCATCGATATTATCCATTGAACTAGAGATTCTTCCTCTGTAGAGGTCAGTTTTTGATGTTTTAGCTGAGAATTCGCGCATGAGGCTGCACCATGCATTCTATTAGTTACAGTGCTATGAGAGACATCATACGCCTTAGCAGCAGCTCAAATAGATGAAATTTGCCCTGTTTCATAGGCTTTAATGACTAGTAATAGTCTTCCTTCTTGATTTGAAGCTTTCTTGCTTGAGGTGGTTGACATATTGAATAATATAATGAATGTGAAGAATTCGGATTAGAGGTGTCCAGTTAGGTGGTGGATTACGTTAATCTCAATCTTGCTGACTAAGTGGCCTCCCCAAAGCTTGATCCATGCTAATTATCTCCCCGACATCGAAGCATTTTTAGTGTCTTTTTTCTGCCAGGCTTCCTTTTTATATTTATTGCTTATTGGGTGGAGTTTTACTGCAGGCACACAATTGGTTAACAGCGGGTGGTTAGTGGACGGCGCCAAAAAAATGCCTCGGCGGCCAAGACGAGAGTCTATTCTTAAACATTAGTTATGCATTGAGCTGGCTAATATAAACGGTAACTACCTATTCACTATAACTCATCTAATCCGTTTCAATAAGCGCTGTCGCATCCATCATACGCCTTAATAGGATTATATAGCCTTTTGGGGTTTTGCGGCGTTCCAACGATAAGTTCCTCCTCCCCACGAAGGAGATAGATAGTATGCGCCGTATGGTTTTGCAGAGTCCGACCCAGTTAAACCATGGAGAGTAGTTAACTAACTACACCAAGAACATATCCATCACGCGTGTGTTGCGCCCAACCGCTTTTTAGCGAATGGGATCTGTAAAATAACAGATCTATGGTCTCCGTATCGATTGCACGGGCTACAGCATGGGCATCGGTCGTGCTCACTCCCGTCAGTGGATTTGCCTTGCGTGGAAAATCTATCGTTGATATGGATTGCTCGATATCTGAAAACTCATTAACTAGTCTGGTGGGGGGGGAAAAAAATAAATAAAAAATAAAGATTAGTTATTTCGGATGAAAATGACAATGTCAGAACGGCTGAGGAGCAATATCTGCGGTATAACTATATTTTGGAAAATGCCTGATGAATCCTCGCACGGAGCCAGAGCTGAGACCATCCCCAACTCCCAAAATCCCGAAATCCTTGATCAAACCGCAGTGGATCGTTGTTTTTTCCAACGCCAAGGCCATCCCAATTAGGAAACAGTGGCGATCGCAAAGAGGTTGAATGTGAGTTTACGACGCCACGACCGTTCCAGGGAGAAGAATCGCTGGAGCCCTTGGATAACAGGAGTTTCATTGGCAGCAAAGTGCAGGGGCTTCCGTGTTGGAGCCCACGCTCTTCTGGTTCACAAAAAGCAACCATAGAAACAACCGAGCAGTCCTGGCATTTCGGCTAGCCTGTCGCCGAGGATGGCTTGATGGAAGGGAACATAAAAGGAGAACTCACTCCCATTTTATGATGCGGTCACCTGCATATCATTCACCGGAATGGCAAGAGGCGCCTACGACACCTCGCCTCTAAAAGGTTTCGCCAGCGCAAGAAGTTTCGGGAAGAGGAAATGCAGAAGATAATCAAGAAATTGACTGAAGAACATGATAATTTTTCAGCATTTATATCATCAGTTGTTGAAGAAGGAGCAGGGAAGCAGAATCATCAAACGCTCAGCCAGTATGCCTTCATTCAAACCGGCCATGTCTTGAACTGCTCTCACACTTTTTCTTCCGTGTGGAGTAGGAGGCGGAATCAATACTTTCATATTAAGTGGAGATATGAGACTAAAAATTGATTCTACCAAAAGAGACAAGCGACTTATTCAACTGGTTGGGGGCCCAACGAGGCACTTAGTTGGCCGAAACAACGTTGGCTAAAACAATCACACTGGCTCCAGGCGCCATATAGCTACAGGGTTCCGTTGAGACACGAATTTTCAGTCGGTTTGCAGAGTATGATTTATTCTGGTTTAAAAATGTAAATGTAAACATCCACAACCGGAAAGGTATATATACTCCTCTCCAGGGCTAGAAACAATATGCTGATTAAAGTTATTCGAAGGAAAAACAAAAACAGAGACAGAGAAAGGAGGGGGAAGAGCAAACAATCTAGACACAAAGGAGCACGAACGAAGAAAATAACATACCATAGCCGTAGCTGTAACTAGCCTTACGGTAAGACCATGGGCTGGAGCGTTAGAGGCAGCATCGAGGGGCCTCCTCGGCCGGAATGAATATGCGAAGCAAAAAAGGACCAAACGAGGGGAACCGGAAGCAAACGAGCAAACAAATGGAACAAAAATCAGAACCAAAATCTAACCAATATTTAACATGTTACACAGATAAAGATTCTTAACCAAATTGACTTTTGCAATCCTGTGTCCACCGCTCCTACGTGATCTCCTTTGCTGCTAGAAATGCCTGTGGCCCGCCCGCCAGACTGGCCGATGAAGGCCGTTTGTCCTTCCACTCTGCGTGGAATTCTTTGACCAACTCCTCGCAGCCTGGAATGAAATCGCACTATGGTTGCCATGTAGGCATCCATGCAACATGGTAAGTTACTCCAGAGTTGGCTGGCCCCACTAACTAACTACCTTTTTGACCTTTCTGTGTCGTAGACAGACCGGCCAGGCCCAGGGCGCGCCAAACGCGAAGAGGCGACGGCGGAGGCCAGGCCTTGTTGGGGATGCCCAGGAGGGCGAGGGCCGCATGCGGCCGCGGACTCTCCGTCCGGTTCTTTACTTTGATGAATTTATTTTTATTACATGTATAAAATTTTTAGGTATATTTTGTTAAATATAATTAAAATAAAAATAAAAAATTAATAATTTAATTTTTTTTATGATTAAAAAATTCCTAATTAATTTTACAATTAATAAATTAAAATAACTATTAAAGTTTAATTATTTAATAAATTTATATTTAAAATAATTAATATAATCAATCATCTGCTAGATCATATCATCTATTGAATCACTTTCATTCAAATCATTTATGCTCTATTAAAAAATTCAGAATGTCAACCACTCTCATTAAAAAGACTTCTAATCAAAAAGTTAGATTTTTATTAATTATTAAAGTTTATATAGCTCAGCAAATTAAAATTATTAAAGCGGCTTCTAAGTTATATAATGTTCTCTATTTCTCTCTGATCTATAAACTATATACATAGTTGAATTACACATGTAAATACTTAATTAAAAAATTAGAAACTGATCTCTACAGAAGAAAAATCTCTAGTTCAATGAATAATATTTATAAATGAAAGAGAAAAGTTTTTTCAAATTATAACTATATTAGAAATAATCCATTTACTATTTGAAGAGTATGAATTTAATGCTTCTACTATTGTAGAAAAAAGTTGAGTCAATAAATTTTTATAATAATATTCTGAGTTAAAGACAAAGTTTTTATATAGATATGACTATCAATGAACTCAGTGTGAGAATTTAAATATTTTATATAAATGATTTATTTTAATGAATTATACAATAAAGAAGTATAAAATTATATCAGAGAATATTTACAACTTTGATGAAATTGACTTCATTATAAAAATTATCTCAACAGTCAGAGTGATCATTAGAGTTAAAAAAAATAACAAGTTATCTCTGTAATAATATAGAATGAGTATGATGTCAAGACTTTCTCTACTAGATTTTTACTCTCATACTGCTTATCAAAGCACTTTAAAATCAACATCTTCTAAAGAATCAATATCATCTCAAGATTCAGCATTTGGAATTAGCACAGATTAGCACTTCTCAAAAATTAGTTCTTTAAAATCAACACTTTCTGAAGAATAGAATCAGCACTTCATGAATATTCAGATTACTGCATTATTAATTCTTTATTTCATGAAAGATTAGAGATATAATCTATTACTACTCATTCATGTATATAAACATTTTAAATTCTCAAAATTTCTTCAAAAGATTCAGTGATTAACTACTATTTAATTCTATATATACATTTCATTCATCACTATTCTCTTCTCTTCATAGTGCTTGTAGCATCTACATATCTATTCTCTTATGATCTTAATTATAGAGCTTCTCACACTTTCTTTTGACACTCAGTTTATTCATCTTAGTGTCTTTATATTAGTCGATGCTACAGAGTAGTATGATTAAATACTGTATGAAGATTCTTTCTAGTTCTATCAACTAAGCTCTTAATCAACTAGTAAAGAAATATCAGCTGATTATATATAGTACTGCTATATTAATAAAGAAAAACACAGAGCTGAGAGCTTTCAATATCAGACAGTAGTAGAAAAGAGAGAAATCATGTTTTTATATAATTATAAAAGAAATTCTAATAACTCAAAATGCATTAGCTAGAACTGTTAGAACTTAGAAGCTTGATCAATGTATAGAGAAAGAGATTGAAAATTTAAACTCGAAGACTAGAAATCAAAGACTTTCAGATTGATTACATTATTTATTTTTTGATAAGTAATAATTTTTATATCAAATTCTTTAAAAATAATAATTAACCAGGTCATGTATTACTTTAAATAATAATAATTATTTGCAAAGCAATAACAGGTTAAGGAGTAATTCATAACTATAGGTAACTTTAAAACAAACACTAAAAATTCAAAATAATAAAATAGAAACAAGTTTCAGTCCAAATCTTAGCGCATATACCCTTTTCTAGCATGGTTAAGGTGGGCCACCGCCCAAGGAGAGACCTTGCCATCCAAAGGTAAGGTTTTGAGGAACAGATTCGTTATAACAGTTCCCATTTTCTATATCTAACCCCTTAAGATCATCCTAGTGCGAAAGATATCAGCAGGCTATTCGCTATTTCTCCCAAGCTATAGCTTGTCAAGAGAAGAAAAACACTTACTGGGACGCGAAAAAACATAAACATCTGTTGATCCATCCCTTTGAATCCTTTGGTATTGTACGGGACCCTATTGGCGGAGTCTGTGGCTGATGTGTTTCTCAAGAAAATGCATTGGACTTGTCCCGGATATTTTGTCACCAGCCGCGGGTACCCTGACATGATATCGAGATTTGTTGTGTCGCCGACGATTATGAACTTCCTCTTTGGAAAAGTCTGGAAAATTTTATCGAGCAGAAATTCACGGATTGCCCAGGTAGCTTTCAAATCAGTTAAATTCACAATTCTAGTATCAAAGCTGCCGACGGGGTATGTTCTGAATATATAATCCATGTATGGGCGAGTCAGTTGCTCAGGCGAGGTTGTCAGATAATGGAAATGCAGATCTGGCAAGCTGTGGGACCAATTTGCAAATATCTCAGGCATGTTCATCCAAGGAAAGAAAGGGCGGCCAAAGAGGTTAGCCAGACCTTCCTGAATGGAGAAAATTTTGGACACTCGAAGAACGTCGTCAATATCGCTGATGAGAGTGAGCCCTTCCGGGGGGATAAGGTAAGCCGTGGAGTTTCCAGTATCCGTACCCCGAGAATATAGCTTGAGACGCTGGGTTTTGCGTGTCTCGTTTCCAGGTATCGGGAAGGCCCCGGACACATTCCTAATCTCGATGAACGAATCGAAGTCACCTTCGAGATTTGTGAGCCCAGGAATATCAATATTCAGACCTTCTACTGGGGTCCCCTCCAAACCAGCACCTGCAGCGTCCTGATCCATGTCCGGGGTCACATGGAACGAGACTTTGCTGTGGCTTTGCTTAATCATTAATACGCTTCGTGTTGCGTTGAGGGCGTGAGCATAATGTGCAGGTGGAAATTTCTTTAGCGAAGCGCCGAGTAAGAACAGACTGGCTAGAGCATGAAGCATGTGGTTCGATATGTTAGGCTGCTTGTAAACGCTTCCACGAAACCTGAGAGTCCATCCACTGTCGGTCCAATTTCCGTAGCCACTACCAGATGTCGTATTAACAGAGTGAACGACAACGGGATCCCATTCAGGGTCAACGACATATAATTTTAGAAAGACTCACGATATAGTAAGGACTTCTGTTGGGGCCAATTTCAATAGGCCCTTTGAGCCATTGACAGAGTTTTTCAATTCCTGCGGGGTAGGAAAGATTTGGAAGATATTCGCCTCTCTATTGATGGGCGATGGACCCTTAGGACTGAAAAAGCGTAGCTTGGATCTCACGGATTTTTCAATATCTCCCAGAAACCTCATCCAGTCGCTGGAAGTCGAGATATATATCGGTTCCGAAGATTGAAAAAAATCATCTGGGGTAGGGTCTGCGGCCAAAGCAGCAAGGGAACCGAGACAAAAGCAGAGTAATATGGTAAAAACGAACGAACGAGAACATCCCGCCAAGTGTGTCCACATTTCCGAAGATGTATTCCCGCAGGTAAAAACGCCAAACATAGATGGATAGGTTCATCCGGGCAGCAGAAGCATCTCCAGGCTTGGACACGAACAACAGCGAGATGTTGCATGTCTGTTTCGTCGCAGTCAAAAAAAGTCATTCCTCGCTTTCGGCCAAGTTGGCAGGTCCCGTGGAACCAGGCACAGTTACCTGGAAAGGCAAGAGACAGGAGGCTGCAGCCCGTGTCCGCTGCTTCCAGTACCGTCTTTAGCCCGGGCAGCGCCGCTCCCCAAGAGGCGAAGCTTCCATTTCCATACCAGGTCCGTTGGGGGAGATCTTGGGAAATGGATTAGGCCTCCGAAATCACGTGTTTCAAGCCGCGCCATCGGTGAAGTGTACATCAAAGCGGGTGGGTATAAGCAATGGGGCAGAGATGCTAACTTCTAATACTACAGAGCATGAGAGGAAAGCGGGCTGGTAGGAACTCCCGACGCGGAACATTCGTCTACACAGATTGGACGAATATCAATGTAGCACAACAGGGGGATTGCAACAGGTAGAGTCGAAAGTGGCAGAGGATGAAACAATTTCCCAATAAGAACGTATTAACACTGGCAGTAGAAATCCCTTTCTGAATCAAATAAGAATTATACTACCTGCTTTTACACTAAGGTGGGAAAAAAAAAAAAAAAAAAAAAAAAAAAAAGGAAGAAAAAAGGAAGAAAAAAGGCGGTTTGTTTAACTAAAGTGCATCCTTGTCCTCTTTCGTCCGCTGCTCTTGACCGTAGGTGTTTCAACATCCCTATCATAGGATCGCTTTTCCTTCTGGTCAAGCACAAGGCTTAGCACGTCGAAGCCAAACTGGGGATATTCCAAGCACATGGCCTTGAACTCTTGCTCTGCCTCGTGACGCAGGACATGGCTCCTGGTGGCCCAAAATGCCGCGACTGGTTTCCGGATAGTGACATCATCCACTGGTGTATTGCCATAGACATATCTTGCATATGCGATTTCCCCACGCGCTGTGCTGTTGATGCGATGGATTTTGCCGTGGGCTAACTGCTTGAGATTTTGTAGTCCGAGTTTTTCTGCCAGGGTATATACGCGGGCATGCTTCAAGAGCTGGTCACCAGTGTCATCGACTTCTGGCATTGTGGGGTCGGATTCGAGTGCGTCGGATGAAGCAAGGCGTCTTGGGAAGTATTCGCCGGTGTACTGGTATTGAAGGAAACAACCAACGGTATCTAGAATCTCGTCCTCTAACACAATTCGACGCTATGGAGCAGGTTGACGTGTTAGCTTCCCATCCCTTACAGAGAAATATACCCTGCGGAGTGCAATAAAGTTTTCTCTTGAGCGTCGCTAGAGATATTCAAATAAAAGGTCAGGAGAGGCATACAGGGCCATCTTCAGAGAATTGGGAGACAGCGTCTCTGAAATAGGGGCTAGTCGTCAGGATTGCCTGATGGGCTGTTAGGCTGGTTTGCTCATCGCCTCTGCCGATAATCAATTCCACGATCGGGGATTTCAGGTATCTATGAAACAGGTTAAAATAATAATAATAGTAGTGATAAATAAATAAATAAATAAATAAATAATAAAAAGATGTAATAATAAAAAAATAAAAATGTACGTCAGTTTCTGGTTAACACACGAGCAGGTCGAATCAAACAATGCGCTTGCTACAAGTTGCTGCTCTGGGCCGAAAAGCAGGTTCCGTTGGGAGTTACATCTAGCAAGCCAGCTGATTGTCTGATACATGTATCACAATGCAGCGGAATCACTTCTGCCATATGAACCAACAGGCTACTCACTCGATAAATGTGGATTCCTTGCTCTCTGGCGCTGGCACATTTGTTTCTCCCCTGTCAGCCCCGGCAGGACCTTCAGCTTCATCTCCGTTTTCAACAGTCTCCGCGCTATCGACATCAACTGGGGTTTCCGTGGCGCCGCCCATATCTACATCAGCGGCATCTGCAGGAATTTCAATCCGTGCTTCAGCCATTGGTTTGAGCGTTTAAGAGGTAAAGCGAAAGGAGCAAAGGAGGGTGGAACGACCGACTACTACATGTATCGTTTATAGCAAAAGAACGAACTGCAATTGAAGATAAAATCGAGAGGACATATAAACAGATTATGAAATGAAATGTAAAATATAAGGAACAAAAACTAAATTAAAAGGATTGAGTTCCAAAGTTCGAGTTCCAGTCTTTTAATCTATTAGACGGTTCCCAGCCACCAACTAGACTGCGCACCGTAAACCTGTAGGAAGTCTGAGAAGTTGCTGGAGGGTCCCCACTGGCCTCAACGTTAAGGCTTCTTCCGCCATCCGGCCTAGCAAGTCATGTGATTGGGATCTATATCTGGTCTAAACATAGAAGAAAACAGTCTTATTGTATGAAACATGTTTATATCAACCAATTGACTTAATATCTTGTATCTGAATCATATAAATTCAAGAAATTAAACATGAAACTTAATAGTTATCTAATATTAAATGAGAAAAATTTATTATATATTTATATATTTTAATTTGTAAAGAATATTTAAAATATATTAAGTTAAAATATATAATTTTTTCTAAAAAAAATTTCAAATTAAACTATTTTTAAAAATCAATTTATTAAAATATTTTATAAGTTCATATTTTAAAGTTTTATATAAATAATGATTGATGTAAGAATATAAACTTTACTTTATTTTATTAATTTTATTATTATATTAGTTCTATTTAAAATATACTAATCTTATTTAAAGTTAGTTTATATATTTAAATTAACTATAATTTTAATAATATGTATATATATATATATACATTATTTATATATTATCTATATTATATTAATATATAATTTTATTATTTATTTTTATAGAAATTTTTATCTCTAAAAATCTTTTAAAGATCAATATTAAAACTTTAATATTTTTTTTTATATTTTAGTTTACATATTTTTAAAATATTATATAAATCAGTTTATATTATTTTTTATAATAAAAGATATATTTTCTATATTTTAAATTATTAAAAAAAGATTTTTTATATTAATTAATAAATAAACTTTTATAATATATAAAATAATTAAAAAATTAAATATTTACTAATATTAATATATATATATATATTAATTTTTAATTTTTTATTTATTTTTTTATAATATATTAACTTTTTTATAATTATAAACTATTTTAAAATATTTATTTCAGTTATTATTTAGTAAGTATATATAATTATTTATATTAATTTAATAATTATTATTATAGCTTTATTTTATATACAGATAAAATAAAAATTTAATTATCAATTAAATAAATTATTTTAATAAAATACTAAAATAATTTCTAAATAATAAGTTCAGAAAAAAAATTTATTTATATATATTTTTTTAGTATTATTAACTCTTTTTTTAATATAATTATTAAATAGATTTTATATTTATAGAGTATTTATTTATAAAGTAATTATGAATTTAATTACTATATTATTATTAAATAATTGTAATTATTCTTTTCAGCTTAGTAGTCTTATGCTATCAAGTAGTCTGGACAGAGCTCATTCTATATTATTTTATTATCTCTCTTTAAAGCTTATATATATTTTTATATTAGTAGATTATCATTTACTTTATCTGTTAAATAATTATTTTTTTTTTCAAATCTTCAGTTATTTATTTTTTACTTTAAAGATTTTATTTTTATTAAATTTATAATATAAAATTTTCAAATTAAATATGATAATTTTTTTTATATTTTATATTAAATATTATATTGAATCATTATTAAATTTTAATTATTTTATTTACTATTAAAGCTTTTTATAGAAAATGTAGTTTTTTAGAATTTTCTAAATCTTTTACTCATTTTTATCTTATATTTTGATTAATTTTAGTATCTTATTTAATTGTTTTGATATAGAGTTATTTATAATTTTCTATATCTTATCAAAAAAGAATATTAAGCAAATTTTTATGCTGTTCAGTAGTTATAATCTATAGTTATTATCAACTTTCTTATTAATTTTAATAAGATTTTTATTTTACTCTATAAGCTTTTTACTGAGATGTTAAATTCTATAGTTTTTGAACAATAGAAAGATTTTATCTTCTACTTTAAAATCTGATTCATAATAGTACTTATTAATTTATAATTTTATAATTTTTTATATATTTTTTATATTATTAGTTGTCAGCTTTTAGATTTTCTTTATTTGAATAATATATTACTAAGTATTTTTTTATTTTAACTTCTTCTCTTTAGATAGTATTTTTAATAATAACTTTAAATCAAAGAATATTTGAGATTTATATTAATAAATAGTTAAAAAGAGTACTATTTTAATTAATTTATTTATCAGAGCTTTAACTACATGATTTATTATTAATAATCACTTATTTCAGTTATTCTGATAGTAATTTATATATAGATAAAGTTTATTTATTAGGTATTAATTAACAATCTCAGTTTGATTATTATTTATATATAATAAGCTGATGAAAGCTTTAGTTTAACTTTCAATTATTTAATAAACTTATTTTAGAAGTTTAAAATGAGTTATAATTTTTAATCTGATATGATTAAATCTAATATTCTATAATACTCATAGTAATATTTCAAAAATAATTCTATCAATTTTTTGATATTAGTTTTTTTTTTATATTAATAATAGATATAAACTTTTTTTTTAATTGACAGATCTTTTTATTATAAAGTTATTTATCAAATTTATTAAAATATACTATTGAACTTGTTAGAAATTGATAATAACTTCTACAGTCTCAGAATCTTATCATAAGAAATCTTCATTCATCAGCACATCAGATAAGTATTTGTAAATTAATTAATATTTTTAATTCAGTCACTTTAGTAGTATCATATCTTTATTAGTAAGTGTAGCTTTATCTTTTTATAATATACTATTAATAGCTATTTATAAATCTTTTTAGAAAATATATTTGAAAAGTAGAATCTTTCTCAATTGATATTATTAAGTATTTTTCAAAATATAAAAGTTCATTTATCATATTTTAGAATTATTCTTCTTATTATATTTTCTCATATTATAATTTTAATAATTTTATCTCTATGTTTTTTATCAAAATCTTCTCAAGAATTTATATATTTATACTTGATCTTAATTAATTATTCTTAAATAATCTTTAAGTGCAATCTTTTTGACTTGAAAAATAACTATATTTAAGAGCATTTACTATTTTTCTGAATTTTTAACTAAGTATATCTGATAATGTATTTTAATAATCAGATTAATACTGAATTAAGAAGTAGAATCAGAAGAGAAACTTTATTTAATATACTTATTAAGTATTTAGATTTATAATTATCACAAAGTACTTAAAAGCTTGATGATCAATCAAGATTTTAAATATTTCTAATCTCTAAAGATCTTTTAACTCGAGTATATTATTTTGATAATCTTCATAATATAAGTAT